ACCATAGCCTACAACCGAGCCAAGACTCAGCAACAAGTAATATAATACAAAATAATCTAAAATGACAACAAAACTCACTCAACACATAGACAAATTAACTGTTGATGATATATATATATATATTAATAGTTTTTATATTTAGTCTGACTACTCAGATGTCTTGCCCCATCGGTCTTCTTTTTAGTGATGTTTCCAGATCTCAGCAATTAACTTCAGTGAGTGTGATTGACAGAAATGCTGGACAAATCTATTAATAATAAATAGGACTTATCCTTTGTAACGATCAGACCACTCCCTATAAACGCATTTTCAAGCCAACAAGTCGTCACATATGCACAATAGCTTCATATGAGGTAACAATGTAGACTAACGCACAATAAGCACACCGTGAGGTTGCTACTCTTACTGCTGAGATTTGCTTTCATGACGATTACACACTCCTGACCAAAGTGTAATGTGTGTGCATCATGAGCCATAAAGCAAATCTGCTGCAGTCTAGCAATACAAAACCAGCAGCTAAGTCTTTTTATATTAATGAATGTTTTAATTTCTACGTAATTTTATGTAAGTTTACTGTAAATGAGCCATTGAACCCTTTCAAAGTGACATCCTGACTGACTTGTGTGACCTTGATTTTATTGAATGTGAAACAACCTTAGTGAGGTCCCTGAGCATAATGTGATCTTTGTTTAAAGATTAGAATATGCTGTAGATTCACAATGAACTAAATCTCAAAATTGTATGTGTATTTTCACACCACCAACATGTAATTTTGTATTTTCTGTGTTTTGTCAAACTGTTTTATGACACATTTTTACAACTATTGACTGTGAATATCTGTGTTTTCTCAATAAAACATAAAGACGAGTAATCACTGACCCTGAACATTGCTTGAGCTCATACTATATTCAACCCAAACACCTTCAACATGCTTTTCACTGTAAACTGCAGTTCTTTAAACATTTATCCTTTGTTGTTAGTATAGTATGATCAGCAATAATCTGCTTCATGTGTTCCTGTTTGCCTTGTTTCAGAGCAGCACTTTTGCACTGAGACAAAGGAAGCAGTAATGAGATACATTTCAGTAGAGAGACTTATGAATTAGTAATGATTTCTTAAGTGGGTTCTGCTCCGTTTTCCTTTGAGGCGCTAGATGTGAGTTATGAGAAAATGCAAATTTTTAGCCTGTGTGAAGCACCACTGTCTTTGTTGTATGACAAATGAGTTAATCTGGATAAGTTGTGACTTCATATCTTTAGAGTCAAGACATTAACTGCCATTTAAAGTAAGCATCATTTTACACTATGTAGAAAATGTCTTTCACTCAAAAGCAGAAGCAGTTAAATAATCCTGTGATGACTCTCTGACCTCCAGTGTTAGCACACTTTCAGTCACAAAGTCCCCTGATGAAGCAAATTACCTCAAAAGTAGTTTTTTGATGTTATCATAGATTCTGTTTGTGTGCGTCATTATTTGCAACTCTACATGCAAGGCAGTGGGGTGAATAAAAAAACATGTAGGCATTGACTTGAGACTTGAAATTTCTTCATGCCTGAAGGGTGGGTAAATTAGCCTGAGTTTCATAACTCCAAAGTTCATTATACAGTAACTATGTGGCAGTGAGATTGTGCTTAATTGGGCCTTAAAGTAAAATTCCAATGTGACTTGCTCATTTTTACGTTCACCATCTCCTTGAAAATAATTGCACCGCACCAGGTGACGCAGTTGAATTTATTTTAATAGAGACAAGGGGCTACACTCATACTATGTAATATTGATGTGCCTGGTTTGAAACTGGCTGGGGTATTAAATTAATGTCAACCCCCTCTCTCCCCCACATTTCCTGTCACTCTCTGCTAGGAACTGTACATAGCTCATATCTAGTTATAAAGTGCTTCACATAGCACAAAAACACATAACAAAACATAAACTAAATGAACCAAAAGATTAAAAATGATCCCATGAACAGACCAAAATTAGGGAAGGTGGTGCAATAAAAGCATGTTTTAAGCTTGGATTTTTTTAGAAACCACGGACTCAGCCTGTTGCATTTGCTCAGGCAGGGTGTTCCTGAGCATCGCAGCTCTTATTTCAAAAGTTCTGTGCCCCTTAGTCTTCAGCCGAGAGTCAGGAACAGATAAAAGGCCCTTGTCAGAGGATATCAAAGCAGGGTCGTATCAGAGGTGTACAGTTAGATTAGATGGAAAAGGTTCTGCTCTCTGAGGGATTTCTCAAAGAATCTGGGCAGCGATAATAGTTCTGCTGGTTATAATAATCCCCATCATGCATGTTTCAAATAAAGCAACAGTACCAAGCAACTTCATTTGCACGATTGTATCAGTCTAGTTAATGGTGTCAGGTTAATGGCTGTTCTGTACACCTGAATATGATTGGATGTTACAAGTAACCCACAGCTGCTGAATGAGCCTGTGAGTATGAAGCAGGAATGAAACAGCTGAAACCTCAGCGATCCATTCATTTTAATGTTCTCCATCAGAAACACAAAAATGGTTAAGACATGTCTTATTTAAATTTTTTTAGTTCCCATATAAACAGTTTAGGCTAGCAGTATGGCTCTGTGGTGATGGGAGTCCATTGTCCATTGTCCATAACATTATGTAATGCAACAAATCAAAACATGAACATTATACAAAATCAAAACATGAACATTATACATGCTTAGCATGTTAACACTGTTGTGAACATGTTAGCCTGCTGAAATTATCTCAAAATCATAGTCTCTGGTAAATGGACCTGTACTTGTATAGCGCCTTCTAGTCTTCCGACCACTAAAAGCTTTTAAACTACATGCCATATTCACACACATTCACTCAGCGATGCAAAACCTAATTCATACACATTCATACACTGATGCACAGCAATTTGGGGTTCAGTGTCTTGCTCAAGGATACTTCGACATGTGGCAGGAGGACCAACAACCTTTTGATTAGGGGACGACCCGCTCTGCCTCTGCACCACAGCCACTGGTATGTACCAAGACTGAGTCCTTGCTGCAGGTCATCCCTTCATTCTCTACCCCCTTTCCTGTCAGTCATCAGCTGTTGCCATCAATCAAAGGCAATAAAAAACACACTCTTACTCTTGGTAACTAGGGTTGAGCAAGTAGGTTACTCAGCTGAAAAGTATACGGTAAAACTACTAAAATGTGTCAATATCCATGGGCCTACTTAAAAATATACCAACAAAAAATAGTTCTCTCACTCTTATGCTATCAAAAACATTGCTCTGAAGCTCAATTTTGGAAATTCCAATAAATATAGCAACTTCTGATCAACCCATATCAATTTCAGGCCTAAATTGTCCAGTTAGCCCCACCCACTTACCACCCATGTTCGGTTTAAATCCTGCCCCTTCTGAGTACAGATACAAATATAAATCATTTAGTTGGTCTGATAGAGATACAGATAATGGTGTACTTGCTCTTTCCTATTGTTAACCATTAGCTTAGAGAGTCAATTATCAAACCACACTTATGCAAACAGACAGTAAATAAGAAGCTTCATCCAGCTAGTCTGTATAATTATCATATTGTTGAGATAATAAAGCCTCAGACCCAAAAGACTTTTATACATTAAGAGTGCTTTTAATAATTACAGTTTACAGTCATTTCAAGTGTTTCTTTAAAAGAACATATACAAATAGAAAATATCTTCAATATCTACTGTACCAATTTGATAAAAGCAATTAAAAACATTAATGTAGGAAATGACCAAATAAATAATCTATTCACCGAGATTGTCATTAATTTATTCTCAAATAAATATGTCATATACAATAACTAATAATGTAAGTGTTGTGAATGTTAACCATCTGTAGTGAAAAGTTGACAGGCATTATAATTTTACAATTGTATACATTTCAGTAATTATGTAACACATTTACATTCCAGCTGAGAAAACAAAAGCCCTGAGTCCCAGTGGTGACAGTGATCAGCAACAGCTGTAATGTTGTTATGGGGTCATTATAGGCCAATGCACTCTGGGTTGTGTGAAATTACTGTAAGTTATTAAGTAGGACTGTTTGTCCCTGAGCTGTTATAGTCATTTCTTTTAACAGCAGCCTGTTCCTGCCTTTTCTATCTGTTTGCCACATCCCATGAACTTTTTTTCTAACTCAAAAACAATTGCTGGCCAAGACAATTCCTTGTTCTTTACTAAGTCTCTAATCTCTCAGCTCATACCACTGGTGTCAAGGTTCACACACCTACAGTCTCTCTGCATAATCAGAGGTGTATTTATGACCTCAGTACCCTGCGGCGTATGCCCACTTGCGAGGATCCGACTGAGCGTGGAGTCCGTCATCGTGCCGAACCACTGCCTGCACTACAGCTCCTGTTGACTTGAGGAACTCTGTCTCGTGGTTCTTTAAAGCCAAACCAGCCAGGACGTCCTGTAAACAGACATAAAAGCATATATAAAAGACACGTAGACCCCTTGAAAACAAAGGAAAACAGGATCAACAATGGTGTGTTTGCTTAGAAAATGCTATTTATCAGCCTGTTGGTGTATTTTGATAAAGGGGAATGATGCCCATTTTAAGAATTTATATTTAGGAAAACAGGTACAAACAAGAGTTCAAACCTAGTGCTGGAAACAAAGTGAAGATCATATTTGTTGCCTTTGGAACGGCAAAAGATTTTACATCCCAGTGAAATGATAAACTCAACGGTTAGTTGTCTAGTTGCGGAATGAGAATGCACACACACACAAACACACACACACACACACACACACACTATCTAGTCTGCAAGATGTTACTGTGGTTTCGTTTTCTATTTATGACCCTCAATGGTTCAATGGTATATTTAGAAGATATTATATTGTGATGTGCAAGTTGTCTTTCTGCATGTGAAACCTGAAGAGAAACAACCTTACAAACTTTTTTACTACATCATAAAATTAGCTTTATTTTATTTTATGATGTGTTCAGAGGCAACCACATATAAAATGTGCTGATTTTTAGCAGCCAGAAATTAGGTTATTACCATACCTGTGCTAAAATATTTGCCTCCTTTTTACATTATACACACCCCTGAAGGTGAATATAATGAACCGTGTCCCCGGTGCCAGTCATGACAGAGAGCTAAGTGTTACCTGGACTTCTAGTTGAAGGATTGTCTCCCAACACACCACACCACCTTGCTATTAGTCACATATATGAGTATTGTTTGCTGTTTGTGACACTCACTTTTTCAAAACCAGGCTCTGCTACAGTGGTGTTGGGACTCAGCTGGTTGTGGAGCCTTGGATCTGATACAGCTTTATACAGATCGTAGTCGAAGAACAGTGCATTCAGAATCACCTAGAAAATAACATAACACAATAACATTTCAGCTAATGAAAACTTAACAGCCAAGAAGCATAGCAAACTATGTATAATGATAGTTTATTTCATTAATATATGATACTTTAACAGGTGTATCAACTTCTGACTGTGGCTTGTGTCTTACCTGAGCGATAGAAGTCGTGATTTTTGTTCCTCCCGAGCCTCCGACCACCATCTTAACTTTGTGGTTTTTGTCAAAGAGGATGGTTGGACACATAGAAGACATTGGCCTTTTTCCTTTGAAGAGAATGTAATAGTAGTTTAAGTTAACAAGGTCAAATGGAAGTGTATGTCCTGTCCAGTGCCTATAAAAAGTATTTACCACCACTGGATCATGTCTCACAACATTGAATCAGAGTAGGTTTAACATGATGTGTTTTTGGTGAATGGATATACAGTATAGAGACCTAGTTACACAAGTATTTTATGTTTATAATTATGAACTCTGCAGAGATCTATTTTGATGTTAAAGGGTCTTTTTTCTATTGATCAGTGTAAAAGAAAAAATCCACATTAAATCTACTTTGTTTCAACACTGTAGGCCAATAAAAGATTGAAAGGTGTGAGACAGTTTATCCACTATTTTAAGAATTATTGCACAAGAAAGTTAAGTTCAGTTATCCTTTATTGATCTCTGTGGGGAAATTACTTTCCTGCATTTGACCCATCCAAGTGTTAAGAGCAGTGGGCAGTCACTGTGCCTTGGTCAAGGCCATTGACAGGAGAAATTAAGCATTAGAGCCTTGCCCCTGCCAGGAGCCACAAGTACTGCCCATTAAAAAGCATTATTTAAAAGCACATAAAAGATAATGTACAGTGTCAAAAAGGACAGGTGACCTTTAATCAGCCAACCATTGAACAGCCAATCTATATTACAATTGTACTGGTTTTAAAACCCTTCTCTCTCTGTGTGTGTGTGTGTGTGTGTGTGTGTGTGTGTGTGTGTGTGTGCGTGTGGTGTGCGTGTGTATTAATATAACCTGGCCTGATGAAGTTGTTCGGTGAAGGAGGTACTCCAAAGCCGTTTGTGATGAGCGGGGAGCTGAAGTCGTCCATCTCATTGTTGAGAAGAATCCCTGTTGATCCTGACATGACTTTGGAGCCAAAACTGCAGGAAAACAATAAGATATGAGGCACAAGACAAACTAACTTAGGTGGGAATATTTGTCTAGGTCAATTAGGAGGGCCATACTATTGGTTGATGGTGCTGGTGGCGGCCACAGCGCTTCCATCTTCTGCTACTACGGAGAGGTGTGCGGTCCCGTGGTTTTCAGGCAGGTAAAACTCCGGCTCATAGTAGTTCATGTGATGTGTGGTATCATCTGTGATCTTTTTACGGAGGTCATTGGCATACAAAGTTGAAGTCATATTCTGGATGAGCTTTGAAAGAGAAAGTGGGACATATATATGACATAATTCATATACCAAATATTTAAAGAACAGTATTGTGTTAATTAATGCTTTTTGGGTGTTTTTTACTATTGTTCCTATAATCCAAGACAAGCAAAGTCTTGCATGCTTGCATAATTGTGTCTGTGTTGTCTGACGGTAGCACAGTTTAGCCTAGGTCACTAGCGTCTATAGGAATACGTTTTTCTCTAAAGATTAATGGCTTGTGAATGTGACATCACTGGTGGGTGTGGTTACATGTACAACAGAGGACAATAATGACTATGCCTATCAGTTAAACTGGGTACAATCAGAGGTGAAACAGGTGTGGAACATTTTAAATGCTGCTTTTCAGTCGGGTATTAAGTTAGTCTTTAACCAAAGTGCTTTGTTTGTGCTTGTGAAAACATTTAAAGATCTTATGTAATCAAATAATATCAGACTTTGGCACACTCCTGTGGTAGCGTACTGCCACCTCCTATAAAACATATTTAAAGGAATGCTAACACGTATAAAGTATTAGGCCTAAAGCTTTGGAGACAAGAAGAGCTGCTGCCTCAGGTTAAGTAGCACAAAAACAGTGTGATTCCCTGGAAACTCAAACGAACACTTTAATTATTAAACTGTTTCAAGCAGAGATGACCTTACATCTGTGATGTTGAGAAACTTCGGATCTCCAAGTAAGGTCCTCTTTGCATAAGCAAAACGAAAAGCCTCCACGATGCGATGGTAGGTTAGGATCTTTTTCTCAGTGCTTGTCATACTATCTGTGTTGAAGTTGTACCCTGTAGGAAATATAACAATCATCAGTAATTTAATTTAAACTCCAGTCTCACTCGTCCGCTTCATTCAGGAGGGCTGTTCAGGTATTGGAGACAGCTAAAATGGACTTGATCCAGTCACTTCCTGTGTTTTTATTTAGTCTAAAAGCTGCTGTGACTAGACTGTGGGTATTACCCTGAGCTGACAGCCACAGAGGGAAACAGGAGGAAGACTGAGGGAACTGGAGAGTTTTGGTTTAATGGGTTTCAGCTGTTGGACAGAGGAGTCACAGTAAATCGGCAGGATGAAAGTTTTGGGCAGTCGCAGAAATGTGTGTGTGAAGCCTCCACCACTCGACTGTGTCCAATTAGAGGTAAATTGGTGAGATTAGTGTTAGTGTGTGAGGCAGGGGGGCACAGTGAGTGGGTGGCCAGTCAGAGGGAAGCAAAGGTTCAGAGAGATTAATTACTTTAGAAGGAAGTTTCTCATCTAATCCTCAGAGACAGACCCTGTCACTGTACTGAAAACTGACAATGACAGTGTCTTCAGCGTGGACATTTTCTGCTACAATAGCCAATATAGAGAAAGTTCAGTCAGACAGATTATGGTGTACACAAAAATTATGTATGGTTAGCTTATATGATGAAAATAAATGAATTAAATTAGTAACACGTTTAGGTGTGAAGATACAAACAGCAATTATATTTGGATCTTAATTACTTCAATCAAATAAAAGCTCTTCAAGTTGTTCCCTCTGCAGTTTAAACTTCATTCTCTAGAGTTCAATCTAAACTTGATATTGCTTTAGTAGTTTATTGCTTTATGACTTTATGAGGCACCATCTGTCCTCATACCAAAGAAAAGTTTCTTCTAAAACCACCCACATGACTGATAAGGTCACATTTATCTTGAAGGGAAAAGCTTGATATTTTGGGAAATACATATATTCTCTTTCTTGTAAATAATCTATAAAAAGTGTAAAAAACAAAACAATGAATCACAGTTTTATGGGTGGTTATTTCCTGGATGTTACATTAGGGAGCTGTTTTTAAAAACTTTTGATCTTACTATCTTTGGACAGAACCCAGCTAGTTTTTTCTAGTCTTCATCATAAGCTAAGTCAACCAGCTGCTAGCAGTAGCTTTATACTTTTTTACGTGATTTCTTTGATCAACCAATTGCATGCATTTGTGATTTATTTAATAAAACTACAGCATTACATTTACATCTTTGTGTAAAAGACACTCAGACTGCCCTTCTGCATAGTAAATCACATCTCATTCATCAGCAATTCATCCAATAATTGTTGATATATTTCACTCAAAATGACAAACTTCAAACAGCTGGTGATGCTAGATGAAAGGACGGGAATCACTAAATTCATCAAAGGATGTTTAGGTACAGTTTTTCAATCCTGGTGTCCATATGAACACTGAAACAGGTTTTGCAAATAGATATGGTTCCTCTTGTTTGGCCAGTAAAAGATCCTTTTCTAATGTGCTTTCATTGTAAGTGATGGAGAACAAAATCCATAGTCCTTGTTCTGAGCAAAAATGTATTCAAAAGTTTGTCTGAAGTTTCCCTAATGCACTTTCAGTGTAAGCATCACATTAAAAGTGCATTAGGAGGGGATCTAATGGCCAGTATGAACAGGAGAAATGATTACAGCAAGCAAAACCTCTTTCAATTTTCATATGAACACCTGACTATTGTTTTATGCTTTAGAAGATACGACGTCTGGAAACCATTTATATCTCAAAACAAAATACCCCCAAAAACTACTTGGCTGAGGTTTGGCAAAGATTATAGTTATGATTAAAAGACGCCAACATTGACTGATAGATGGAAGCTGGAGGTTGCTTTTGGTGAGGATAGTCCAACAATATGAAGACTGCTTCCTTATTTTTACATCATGTTTTAGAAAGTAGACAGTCTTAGGTAAGTTAAAGTCAGCTAAGCTTTTTTATTTTAAGAGCAGATTTCCTGTACAGTAGATCAACATGCTGCTCACAGTGGAGTCCTTTGTGAGAGTGACTGGCAAAGTGAAAGCAGCTCACATTAAACACATTCTCTCCCACTCAGGGTGTTTTTGGACAAAGCATCAAGGCTTACCATTCAAGATGTTTAATATCAGCGAGAGCACAGGGCCGCTAGCGGGGGCATTGGGAACAGCCATGGTGTACTCCCCCACATTCACCCTTAAAGGCTTCTCATCCAAGACAGGCACATAATCCTTCAGATCCTCCATTGTGATGATACCGCCTAAACACGGATTGACAAACACTGTGAATGCACACTTGGACAGAAGTGGAAATACAAATCCTCCTTAACATGGAAATTAGATGTGCAGAGAGAGGAGTGTGTTAGTATATTTTATGTCCTGAAGTCTATTTAGCAAATGCCTTTTAGTGATGATGGTAGATGTCATAATGATAATAAAGATAATGTGCTTCATTAATGCTCTTCGTGGGTACAGAAACATGATCTTATCTGCAGAAATCGCTGTTTGGATTGTAAAATAAAGTCTAGATTAAAATGGTGACTCCATTGTGCAACTATACACAATGAACTTCCTATTGCTTGTGATTATAGTTAGCTTGTTCATACTTTTGCTGGGAGTCTGAAGTCTATTCAATTCAACACAGAAGTGCAGTATTCCTGATGTTCTGACCGAATGAGGAAAAGAGAAGCATAAACAATATTCCATGTGACTTCAGACTGTTATTAGGTTTGGTTTTACCGTCATCGACTTTTCTAATTCAAACAAAACAATAAAAAAACACTACCTGCTTTCTGAATATCTGTCACAAGGTTCTGCGCCAGTTGTCCTTGGTAGAAAGCATCAGGACCTTCTTCGGCTATTTTCCTATAAGTTACTGCAAGCTTGCTAAATACGATGGTGTCATTTTCTTGAAGGATATCACCACTTTCCCCACAAAACACTTCACTGAAATAGAGTGAAAAAGTCATTATGGTTATGAACATGTTTTAAGTGACTTTCAAATAACCAGACATTGGTTTTAAAGGCCTTGGGTTGATGAATCTCACCATAGGGCTAGGTCCTTGATGATGGTTTTCTTGTGTCTGGACAGAGCAGTAGCAAGTGCCCTGCCCAAAGGGAAACCCTTTTCTGCAAGATTAATGCTCGGCTGGAACAAGTCTCTCCAAGGCAGTTTGCCATGTCGTCTGTGTGCCATCTCGTAACCTCGAATCTCACCTGGTACAGCAATAGATAACCCTCCTACCAACCATGAAAACCAAGGATACATACTTATATTACTGCCTCGTAAGTTATTCAGACATTATTTTAGAGCACTGCTACACATACTTTGGGACCCAAACTTTTGTTGTTTTTTATTCCTGAGATTAGAGTCTGTCACGACTCTCAGGGAATATATAATCTAATCTCTCCTTTGTCTGTCACTATCACAAGGTCATCCTCTTTCATGATAGTCTTAATTACAGCTTCCCTCCACTCATTTCCATGTCTGATAGTGTCGGTTAAACATTACCTTTCTGGGATAAATCGGTACTGTTCCCAAACATGTTCTCTGTTGCGTTGCGTGGTGCCGTCTCCCTGGCATCAATGGTCTCAACCGCCCCTGTGTACAAGTTACAGATAAGGAAATGTATTTAGGCTCCAGATGATCAGGGAAATTGTATGGGCTTGTTGTGTAGGTGGGGAGAGTAAACAAGTAGTAGGTATGTTAGAGTAAAGGTGTACCAGTTGTTGCATTGTAGATGGTGAAGAAAAGTCCTCCTCCAATGCCCATACTGTGAGCGTTCATAAGGCCAACACACAGTAAAGCAGCTATAGAGGCATCAACTGCAGACCCCCCTTTCGCCAGTATGTCTCTGTGGTAAAATTAATTAAAACACACCAAGGGAGGGAAGTAGTGGAGGATTAGTTTTTACACTTAAGATATTAAGACCCTGCTGGCCAAAGATATAAATAAATTAGGCCTAAATAAAGCCAGTTCACAGGGATTTGCATGTGTGACTCTAGGTTTATATTGTATGTTGGCATCCATGTATGACTGTTTACCATAGAGCAACATGTCCTAGAGGATGTTTTACTGGGTAAGCTCTCACCTGCCGACCTCTGAACAAGGCCCAGCATCTGCTGCCACAGCTGCCTTCAAGTACACCTGCTCACTCGGAGGCTTCCTTCTCCCCACACCGAAGAAGACACCCACAAAAGTGGCGACAGAGGCCAGCAGCAGTATCGCCAGCGCCACAATTATTGTCTTCTTGGACATCTTTATAGCTCAGGAACAAATCAAGACACTCTATTTAATACCTGTCAAGAGAAAAACATTATTTGTATTTTAAATGTATGAAAATGCAACTGCAAAGGGCTGCACTTCAACTGTAAACCCAAATGCGCAGAATTACACACCACAAAGATCAAACAGATTAATAAATTAGAAATTCACACATACTATGTATATCATACAATACAGGTTTAAATATTATATCAATATTGGATTATCAGCAGAATCACATGAAAGTTCAAAGATACAAACTGAGGCTGACATATTGAAATATAAACATACAAACATAAAAATTTTATACATATCAAATCTATCCAGCCAGTCAAGGTTCAGAAAATCCCAGACTGCGGAGATTGAGAAATGTGATATTCTTCATTGTTTATATTCAAAATACCCACATAAAAGCTGTTTGCTTAAACACTGGTGTCAGCACGTGACCACAGGTGAATAATGTTAAACGTAAGTCAGTAAGTAACCATAATGGTGAACAGACCAAGTAAGGCAGAAGTTAGTTGAAGAAGATTCACCGGCTGACACGCAGTCACTGCTCACTTCACTAATCTGAATGTTGCTACTATGAAAGAGAATCACAACTGAGATGAGGGTGGTGCTTTAGCCTACATAGTGAGCCTTAATGCCACCGCTTTTTAATAATGTACCTTATAAATTTCACATTGAACTCAAAATGATCACTCACGATGGACAGTTTAAGAAACATGATCAAAATTGCCGCAGCAGAACTAAAAATATCTTTTTTTTTAATCCACACATTCTTCTTCCTTGCCTACATTACCCACAATGCAATTTGATAGCTGGCAATTTAACAAAGCTTCAGGTGTGTTATCATAGTAGCAGCCAATGTACCCTCAAGCTGCTAGCCTCAAGCAGAGATGAGTTGTGGATTTTTTGTCCTAAACCAAATATGTGTTGCACAAAGCTGACCTGTGGGCAAAAGTCAAGTTATATATGGAGGACCTGAGGGCAGCAATACAGCCCCAACTCTACTTTACATTGTCTGGCTGGCTGAAAATAAGTCCACTACTACTCTGCTCATATCCTTAAAACCTCACTGCTGAAAAAGCTACTTTCTAAATGTCCCTACCAAATGTTCAAATAAAGGTTGATTGAACAGATATTTTAAAAAAAAAACTTTATTCTGTCACACAGAAGTTACATACTTGACCATTTCTGTCGATCTAAGTTTAAAATAATGTAGCCTAAATAACAAAGAGACTTTAAAATGTGTATGAGAGTTCTGCTTAGCCAATAAAGCTCCAAACTGATGTGTTAAAGTAACACAGTTACTGTTTAACATCTGAGATAATCTGACTGTGAGGCAATGTATCTTCCTGCTGTGCTCTCAGCAACCAATAAGAATAAAAAGAATAAGAATAAGAAAAAGCCTCAAGTATTTAATCTTAATAATACCTCTCATTTGCTCCAAAGCCTAAATCCTACTGTCATGCTGATTCTTTGGTCTGTCAAAGGAAAAGGAATGAAACCAGATTACGTAACAGGCAAGTGTATAGACAGCACAGTTGCACAGCACAAGAGCTACTGTTGAACATTACAGTACACAAACAATTTATATAAAATTGTCGCCTGACTTCACATCTCAAAGTACAAAGTTACTTCAAAAATTAAAAGCAAAAAGGACATTTTTGGAAGTGAAACAACGACATGTGGAGAAATAGAGAATCCAAATCCTCGTCTTAGATTTGGATTCAACATTGTATCACCTGGATGATTGAGATGAACTTTCCCAGACATGTCAAACGATTTTCTGTCTTACCTTGATTCCTCTCGGGGGGCCTCAGCAACAGGCTGCTCACTGTGTGCACCTGCCACAAACTGCAGCAGTTGATAGGTAATAGGCTTTCTGTGGCTCTCAATATGTAACTATGACAAAGTCATTAAACTTTAACCCACCCCATCATAAAACACCTATCTTGTGTTGCCGATGGGAAAGAGAAAAAATGCAGACAGAAGAAACAACTTGAGATGACATTAAAGTTATCATTCAAATAATTAGTCATCTGTACTCACTTTTCACATTACTTTCTAAAATACACAAACACAGAGCAATTACATGACCCTGAAACTGAGAGGGAACTACATTTCACTGGATGAATAGTTCTTTATCTGTAATGGTGCTCAAGCTTATCTGCGACAAAGATTAACTAACAGTAGCCTCGGTTCGCTGGTGGGTCATTTCAAATAGATGACATATGACTCTAGTCAACAGATAGTCGACACTTTAACAGAATTATAAAGTTGGGACCTGTTTCACGACTCTGATGTAATGCAGCTCTATAATAAATATCGGCTTTGGCATGACAGCTTTAAAAAAAACTGATTTTAAAGTTTCAAATAAAGTGCCTCCTCACCAGGAAAATGAAGGCTTTCAGGGCTGCGAGGGAGAAGATCACATCTGCCATGAGGGGAGGAACGAACATTAAGAACAAACTGCAGGGGACCAGTGTGAAGGGGTGCAGAGCTGGGTGAGAAGAGTCAGTGAAATAAGCAGACAAAGGATCCACACACTGTAGTATTTTATTGAGTATCTGTTCGATCTTCTTCCTTCTTCCTCATCAGGCATTGTCGAATCACCATCACAAAGCAGAACAAGCACTTTATAGACGCAAACACATGCATCACTCAGGTGATTGTGATCTGCATCATTGAGAGTCAAGCTAATCTCAAGCTGGACCAATCAGAGCAGAGCTGGGTGACAAAGCATGCCCCTGTGGCTACATTCACACTGTAGGAACAACCCAAATCTGATTTTTATTTTTATCATATGTGACTCAGATCGTTTTTTGTATGACAGCGTGAACAGTACAAATCACATGGAATCTGATGTTTTCAATTCAGATTCAGGTCAGATTTAAATTTTTTTTTTTTACGGTACAACCTCAGTGTGAACAGTCATATAAGAATTAATGTGACTTTTATGTCACTAGATCTAAGTCTGTCACGTTCGTCAGGACCATGGGCTGTTCAAACTGAATCTAATATCGGTCATATTTAAAAAATAATAACCAGAGTAATAAATCAGAAGTGAGTGCTAAGGCTTGTTGTGTGAATGTAGCCTATTAAAAAGGGAAAAAACAACTAGAAAGATGAATATTATATAGGCACATATCAAATCCAACACATCAGAAGCTGTGTGAAAAATACATCATAAATCACATAAACCATCCAGAAAAACAATTATCATAAAACTACGATATAGAAAAATGCATAGAAAGATTGAAAACAATTATTACTCACCCCAAATTCAATATTATATTAATGCCTATGGTATTCTTGCCTCTTGAAAGCTTTTTGATCCAGCACCTGTAGAAGTTTCTGGATGTGCGTACCCTACACCCTGTTTGTCTCTGTTAAATAAGCAGCCAGACCAATAGGTGAAGGGCACCAGAAACAGGACAGATTTTCAACTTTGACACCGAGGCCCCAGCCAACTATCCTAGTTAATAGCAGTTATCTCAGTTCACAAAGAAAATGGGGGGAAAAAAACAAAGTGCTCAAAAATCTAATCTGTTTTAGCTCCAGATGGCCTGAAGGTGCTCAAGGAGGAGTGGTGTGTATGCAATTAGATAAAAACTCTGACAGGCAGCCTTGAAATCCAAACCTGAGTCAAATGGTTATGTGTAGGTTACAGGTTACACAGGTTACACAGGTTGAATGAAGCAACAGTGCAACATCTTATTTAAATTTGTCCACCTCCAAAATCAGGCATTAAAAATGTATTATTGTATAATTTTAGCTGTCAACATACAAATGAATATTTGTAGCACTTGTATTTGAAAGTGACAGCGGTATCCAAGGAGTTTCCTTAAATGCGGTGCAGTTACAGCTATGATAACACAACACTTAAGGTTTGTGTTTTCACAGCTGTAGCCCATCAGCTCTACTAAATATCCATAGTTATCTGGGCTGCTACAACCTGACAAAACATGGTTAACCACAATCACACTGTTTTATTTAAATGACAAATTGATGGCTCATTTTGAGGATTACCTTCTTTTATTTCACTAGACTGAAACTGGTGCTTAAGAGCAGATCATTGCAGCCTTATAGTCAACCTGGATGACTGCACACAAACATTAACGACAAAAGTTTGGTTTGATACTTTAATGATTTGACTATAGAATATTGTCTATATACAAAGATAATATGATGAAGCAACAAGTGAATGTAGAACAATAATATCCAAAGTTTTCCTGTTGTTAATGCAAAAAAGTCTTCTAAATCTTTAAATTGTAATATTCTACCACCATCAAAGCAGTTTTATTGTATGTGCTGCATCTTGTTGGTTCTCTAGTAAACGTACAGTAGTTACTGGGTATATGTAGAATACATGTCAGAGCTGGATAATATACACACATCTGTGCTGTGGTGGTGCCTCGGCAATTGGCCCCAAATCGCAACCACCATGACCACAAAGTCAGTTCTGGCTTTTCTCACACTGGGCCCCAGATTCTCCTTAAACTTAAATAGTAGTAAACTCATAAACATAATAAAACACAGGTGTCCCTCATGCAGTGTAAAAGGTAGAACAGGGGGAGAGTGAGCGGCCAAGATACTAAATATCATCTCCACTCATCTGTCTGGAGACAAGGTCAAGAGTACAGTAAATACTGGCAGCTCCCAGAGAGTTGCCTTAAACGTCTCAAACGTCCTCTTGTGTACCTCTATCTACTTTGATCTGAAGTATCCATCTGAGTAAGATCAGTCAGGACTCTTTAGTGCTGCTACAGTAAGTCAGCAATGAAAAGCAGCGTTCCAAAGAAGAATCTCATATCAATTCTTGATTGGTAATAGCTCTAATTTTATGTGCTATAAAATCCTCTCTCTGACACTTAACTCCTGGTTGGATGTGTTTCTTTCATGCCTCAAATTAAACAACATAATGCATTGTTTTGAGTTGCCCTCCAGAACAACACATTTTCTCATCTAATGACAGCATAATATGTTACTGTTACAAATCACTATTTGAAAAAAGCATAATGCAGAGTACAGGTCAAAAAAACCTGTCTATGAGGTGCTTGACAAAGGCTGAGGCCTTAGTAAACTAGAAGGGCACTCAGAGAGTTGGCCTCAAATCACTTTAATTACGATGGGTCATGCATGCGCAACAAATTCATCTAATTTCGCCAAAGACACTGGTGTTACAAATAACCTCACAATGTTAATGAAAGTGAAATATAATGAATGCATCCGCCCTGTGCTTTGGATCCACTCCAAAATGTAATGGGTTCTTCCTTGGCCCATGCGACACCCTTTCACAAAGTTGCATGTCTTTTCCTTAGACGCTGGTAAAATTGGAATCTGCTACCTGCTCAAATCCCATGTCAAGAAAAAACAAGAACCCAGACAATCCAGGTGATCATCGACTCTAAGGTGGGCAGTGAAATCCTGAAATCCAGACTGAGCCAGTGAGAGCCATTAGGCTTTAGTACCAGCATTATGGGGATGCACCAGGCACTGGGGAAATACTATATTACTTTATTCTCTGGCATAGAGTTCACCACTGTTTCCATGGCTTTGCATTCAGTCTAGGAGATGATACAACTTATTATGCTCAATCACACTGGGGGTTGTTAGGTGATGTAAGAGGTGTGTTATGTTATACAGGGCTGACAGTGGATTATGTTTTGAAAGCTTGGGCCCTGACTTGTCTCACAGCTTCACTGAGCAGAGAGACACAGATTCACCCCATGCTTTTAGTTAGTAAACAAGATGCATCTGTGTTAATAACAGTGAATGTAGGTTAGAGCTTGAAGTAGGTTGACGATACAAGTAGGTCATCTCACATTAGCCCTTCTGATGTCAACCCTCTTGTGCCAGGCCAAAATTCTAACAGGGGTAAGGAAAAAGAAGATTTGTATTTGTCTGCTACAAGGTACTTATCTGCTATCCTCAAATTTATATTTCATATTTTTTGGTTTCATGATGGTCAAACACAGACACTGACACGACCCTCCAGCCACTTGTTGACGTTGATATTATTGTTACCTGCAAAAAGGAACGACTAAATGTGACTTTACTTGGATTTGTGGTGGCTTTGTTAAATAAAGTGTACAAGTATGATCCTGTCTTTCTGTAAAGTTTATTCAAGCCATCCATGAATGGACTCAACACAACTCTCACACACTCCCGTATGTGAAAGAGGCAGTATCATTTTAACCCTGTCAGAGCGTCACTCTAACACAGTTACACATTCCTGAGTACGCAACCAGATAGCGTGGTGTGACGACGGGTCTTTATCTTGTCCTTGGATGTTCAGTTAAGTCTCAAGATCCTGCTGTTTACTTGGACATAGAGTGTAGTTAGAAACATGGTTAAAGGTTAATGCATATAATAGCCTCTTGACCAGGTCAGGGCCTTATTTAGGTTCTTAAAAATTGCCATTACAGACTTTAAAAGAGTAAGTTAAAACTAAGCTGAAAAGTAGACCCTCTCTGGTTTCGAGTCTGTTGCACCTGTAACCACGCCTAACAATGATGTCACTGCGTACTGACACACCCTGAAAAGTTAAACCACTTGAGGTCAGCTGCTATTTTGTGGTTCTTTAGAGATGAACTACTTATCCAGTTGTCTTAAATTGTTTAGTCTCTCTACTACTCAGACTTACAGGTCATGTTTTTCAGTATCTGATTAAATCTGTCTAGTAGCCCATCTGTCTGAGCTTGATCAATACTGTTCCTGATTTAATGGACAACCAAACCTTGAGCTCATGTGGCCTGCATAGCTGATGGATGTACTTTAGTTAGGCTATTGTGCAATTTAAACATGGGAGTTATAATGTTTGTTGTTTACGCAAGACCAGCAGACTGCCCATCCTACAGCTATACTGTACAGGACAGCACCATCTATCGTATCCCAAACCTTCAGAACATTTTCACCCAGGAGTCTGGTGTTCTCCGAGTTCTTAAATATCTCATGAATGCTCTTTACATCCACCAACTGAGCCTCTACCAGCACCAAGTGTTAATGGATCATAGGCTGCACACATAAAGCCTTGTAACTTGAGTTCTGCGTGGACAAATCAATACAACATGTAATGCAATCCAATGTGCCTTAAACCTAGGCTGCTATTATCTCCAAATGTTGTTGAGAGTGTCAGAGAGGCCTTTTTCTGCACTGCAATTATAATCTATGTGCTTATATTAATTGTCCATCTATCTATCTATCTATCTATCTATCTATCTATCTATCTATCTATCACGTTTTCATATTACTAGATTACCAAACTGTTACATAAGACCCCATAATAACACAGGATTAAACCAGTCTACTCTCCCTGATTGACTCAGTGTCACATAAACAACCTGTGCGTTATGATGTGGGGTCACTAGTTAGTAGGAAATCGAAGCTGCGAGCATTTTGACTCTCACTGTCGGGCTGTGCGGAGAGTCACGATCTGATTGGCTGAGGAGCGCACCAGCTCTGAGTAAAGCAAAGGATGCCAGAGTGCTCAGGCAGTGCATGGATGGACGAGATGTAAGCAGGGGAAGACGGCGAGCAAGCGGGGCACACATTGTTATGATGATGCTTTGCAGTTCAGTAGTGGCCTTGAAACTTTGAAACACTATTTTACTGAGGGAAGAAGTATTTCGGCACATCTCGCTACAAGTTAAGTGTGATGTTTTGGCCGCATGTTGTAAAATCCCTCTCACCACCACCACCTCCTCCTCCGCCACCGACACGTCCTCTCAGGAGTGATGGGTTCCAAGCTGACCAGACAGAGAAGTCTCGATTTTGAGAGCAAACTGTCCAAGAGGAGACGGCAGAGGAATGACAACCCGGGAGAAAGCGAGAGAAGTGGCGGCAGAGGCGGCGGGGACTTCTTGTTTACCTCCTTGATGCTCAAGTCGGACAAGCTCCCAGGGATGCTGCGGAAAACCAACCACAGCCCGTATGTCAGACGGGTGGCTTGGATCCGGGAGATCCAGATGCTTCTGCGAGAGCAGAAGATGGAGCAAGCGGCTGAAGTGCTCAAACTGCTGAGAAAGGTAAGGGGCTGTCAGTATTTATGAAGTTTATGAGTCTGCACTTTATTCTGACCTGATATTGTTATTAAAAGGTTTAATTGACGCTGTAAGTGGGGTTTGTTTATGAGCACGTGGGGGAAAAGTTTGCTTGCATTCATGAGTTAAAAGAATATTCTTCTGTGTCTAAAGTCATATATAGATTATTATTTTAACTGATAAACTGCAGGTTTATTCAGTGATTGTGTCCTCGTTTGTATAAATGCATGTAAATGTAGGTGTGTATGTGGTGTTTATGTATGTCTACACAGGTATTGGCCATACAACTAAAAGAACATTCAATAAATGATTTCTACTGATGGCAAACAGGAAATCCCACTTTTCATGGAGTACTTGTATCAGCAGATGTCAGCGTGTTGATCATTTTTTAAAAGTTAAAGTCTTCTAATCATCTAGTTTTTGCAACTTCGCACAAATGTTTCACAGTAAGAAAGCCTGGCTGACATAAAGGGCATGGCGCTGCACTCTGTCGCCTTCTTTTATTATTGCTGAGGGAAAAAGCAGCCCTTATAATGAGGTTGATGTCTCATTGGGTGAGACGCTGGTCTGAATCAACCACCTGTTTTGTCTGAAAGGGAATGGCTATGAAGCCAGCTAGTTCATGTTCTGAATATTCAATCAGCTCCAAACAACAGAGAACACTGAGTATATTATATGTTAGCCCATTGAAATGTACCAAAACCAATCTTTAATTCTGATAAATTATATATATTTTCAGGGTTAACACCACAAAAGAAAATCTAAATAACATAAACGAATGGCTTATCTTATATACATACGAGAGAATGTTAAATATACAAATCCACATAAGAAAAAGCTGTTTATACAAACCTAGTTGAGGCTCAGATGTGGTATTGTTAAATAGCTCTAATCCGTCCCTTTTGCGCAGCATTGTGTATTCACTTTTTTGTCGTCAGCTTCATAGCTCCCAACTATAGGGAAGGTCTGTTTATTTCCCTTCCTATTTAACTCTTATCTGTTGCACATTCCAGGTCTAATCCTCACTTTCTGAACATCTATTTAAACTAAAGAGAAGGAAAAAATAGTTTTTAGAGCTCAGCATGAGCTTTCCACAGCCTTCTGGTAGCTGTACGTTGATCAAAGGAGAACAGTTCTAAAGTTCAGACAAAAGCAGTTCTGATCAAGAGGGGCCCCCTGTCAGGAAGACTCCCTGCCCATCTGTATGGTGCCGTAGAATAAATTATACAGATGTGTGCATATTAAAGCAGGAAACAAGGCTGAGGAGAAGCTACGGGTGTCTGAACTGTAGACAGATTTGTAGGTATCTCTTCTACTCCGCACAGAAACCATTTACTGAGGATAGGTGTGTGGTGAATTTAAACTTCACTGTAAAGCTTCTTATTTGTGAAGCAGGAGGGATATGACTCATGCATAGCTTCCCTTAATGTGTCTGTCCCTGTTTATTAAAGCAGTCCTGCAGTCAGTCATATCTTATAAGAAAAAAAAAAGATCAACATGTACATCTGTTGGTCCTGAGCAGGGGCAGCTTTCTCCGTAGCTTGGCATTTAAACTGCTCACGAAGCACGAATACTCTCTCCATCTCTCACTAAGGTGATGCCAGAGTGCAGCTACTGTTGTATGTTGTTGGGGCTGAAGCCAAGTGTCTGACTAACAATACTTCAACACTGAAAACAAAACTGACGGTACAGTAGATCTCCTGTTGTTGTTCTCCAGTAGCAGAGCAGCTTTTCCTCTCAGAGATGGATGGATTTGGAGATAATCACCTTGAGATGATGGATGCTGGAACATGTTTCTTTTACATTGAGGAAGTCATTACAAAGAGGAACCAATAACACTGCCCCCACTTTCTATCTCCATCGCAGATCTGCCTTCTGGGCCATTAAGTTAATTAGGTTGGGATCTTCTAGATATTCATTAGTAAACAAAGAATCAGCAAATACTCATATCAATTACGCTCTACAGAGTGCACACTGAATAACCAATGTGCAGCGATGGAGAAGACACTAATTAAGGCGTTCTCTGTTGCATACGAAGACCTTTGTGAAGTCTAAGGTTAGCTGCCACAGCACACATATTTGATTTGTTTATTTTATTCAACTTATAATAACTCAATACAAAACTGCTTATCAGATATTGGTGCTTATTTTAATTTTTTTATTATGTGATTTTATATGAACGCGTAGGAAAATAACTTCTCTGCTAATGTCCCCGGTTAAAATCTATCCTCACCCTCACTCACTGTATGCTGTCAAATAAAGGCAAATGAATGAATAAAATACAAGTTTGACACAGATCCACATTAATGGAGTAGTTTGACACTTATTTGCTTTCTTGTCAAAAGTTTAAAAAAAAGGATTGACACCACTTTCATGCCTTAAAGGTAAAAATGGAGCTACAACCATCACTCTGGAAACAACTAGCCTGGCTCTGTTTAAAAGATTCAAATCCACCTACCAGCACCTTTATGTTATATATTGTCACTTAAATCTATACAAAACCAAACGTGTAAAAACGATAAATTGTGGCTTTACTTGGGTCCCATGCCGGACATTTTCTTGGTCGGACACAGTGAACTAAAGGGAAATTAATGTGTTAATTTGTGAGCTGCTGGGTGGTGGACTTTATTACCCTTGGACACAGCCAGGTTAGCAATTTCCCCCTGTTTCCAGTCTTTATGCTAAGCTAAGCTTCTACTGGATGCTTCATAAATAATAATAATAATCTTCTCATCTAACTTTCAGCAAGAAAGCAAATTAGCATATTTCCAAAAATGTCAAACGATTTAATTAAATAAGATGAGCTTCTGGCACTTTTTTCATGTGGCCTGTACAGCATAAATATCAGAAAAATATGGTGGAAGTTCGTGTTAGTATTTATTGTAAGTCAAATAGTGAACTTGAGAGACTAAGTACAATTTTTGATTTGAAGGACAGATTTGACTGTAGTAATAATGTAAGTAAAATGCCTTTTAGAGTGCCCCAGAAGAAACTGTTCATCATATGTCCTGTCACATATGACTAAGTTGACATATTGACCTTGTCTTTCTTGCCGAAGCATTGTTGCTGCTGGCCAAGCATTTATGTCTTTGGAGTAAAAACCACTTTTCAGTATACTTTTTCACATGACAACCATGCAGTTTCCACTTTACACCTTGGATTTTGATACGATTACATAAAAGGTCACAGCTTTTTATCAGTCCAGTAAAGAACATTTAATCCTTAAAAGTAAGTAAACAAAACTGCAGTTGGAAGGTCCGTCACCTGACAGCTGTGACATGTTTCTTACACCGAAGTGGAAAACTGTGGGACTGGATTTGTCACAGTGTGCAATATATTTAATTGGATTCTAATGAACTGCATGTGTGGGATGATTTGGAGCTCATTGCTTTATTCAGACTTTTTGTGACGAGGCAGACGTCAGATTAGATATGCAGCTTTCACAAGGACATTTGTAGTGGGTTCTGAAGGCACGCAGGCATGTACATGGGCATCCTGTCGGTGACAAATAGGAAAACATTTCATGCTTTTATGATTAGGATTCAGTCAAATTAATCCACAGGATCAGATCTCTGTGTCTTTTTTTGTGAAATCCCTCTAAAAAATTCCTCCGTGCTTCTATTTATGGACACGTGTGGTATCCTCAGTCTGCTCTAAATGAGGTTTATTGAAGGGGGAGCTGGCCTGGAGGATAGTCCACTGTCAGGGAATCCCACAGAGCTCCGCTGTAATAAATCAACCCAAAAGCTGGAGGAGGAGAAAATGCTGATGGGAGTTTTCCTCTTTGCTTTCACTGTGCCCCTAAGTGTTACGGCTGTCAGAGCATATAGAGCATGTTTTATACAGCTTCAACCTCAAGCCTGCTATTTGAAAAGCTTTTTAGTTCATATACAGCTAACCGTATTTACTCTTCAGCTCCACAAGCTCTAGTTATGCAGTTTTACATAATATAAAACACACTAGGTGGAGGTCTACTGAAACATGTTTGTTCTGTTCTTTTCATACAGTAGCAGCAGGTATGTCGCTAATGTATACATATGAGGTCTTATGGATTAGGAGAGAAATGTAGCTTTATGCCTTAAAAGAAGAGATTTCCTTTGACTCTCTTTCCTCTTACTCCCAACCTTTCATCATTTTGTTTCATCTGCTCAGTTCCGTGTCTTTCCTGCTGTTTGTTGTTTGTTTTTTTCTTGTGTGTGTGTTGTCATCTTCCTTGGAAAGGCAGTGGATGCCACATGCTGCAGAGACTATTTGATGTGTCTGAAGATGTTACGTCTCAAACACTGGCTGCTAATGACACGTCAGCACTCGAAGCATTACCTGAAGATGCAGCTTCAATATATTTACATTGTCACTGCAAATAGAAACAGCCTGAAGATGATTCAAATATCATCCACCCCTGGGCATGAGTCCTGGTTCCTGTTTTTATTGAACTGCTCTGCACATACACACAATATTTTACTTATGAATTCTAAAGATTAGAAATGGAAGTAAGTAGAAACAAAGAAGTGCATTTAACTGGAATCAAAAAGTGTTTTCCTCACATGGTTTAGAGTTGTGTTTAGTGAAAATGATAGGAATTCCTGCTGGATAAACTACAACTGAAACCTGCAAATTAGGAACCGGAGGGAATCTTTTTCTCCTCACTCGAGAGTGAACTGTAATATTTTTTAAAAAGACCACACCACTTTTATCTTGGCTTACTTAAACTGTACTTTCAACACCCCTCACACACACACATATATATGCACACAGACACCATCACCACCCCTTATCAGCTGAGCTGGATGTTAACACACAACTCCGATGGCAAAACCTTATCAGCCCATAGTGTGATAAAGATGAAAGGGAATGATGAACAAAGCTTATAAACATTGAAAATCTATTTTCATTTAACTATCCATAAAATGTCACTTGAATATTAAATTAATCATGGCTCAGACATGGCTATTCAACATTAATTTAGGAATTTCTTCACTGTGCAAGTTCAATTTCCTCTCTTTTCCTTCCCTCTCAGGATTTGGGACTCCAGGGAACGTCTCTCAATGACATTTTGTACAAGAACGCAGCTTTTCTCAACCTGGTGGACCCTATTTCCCACGAGCTGCTGCTCAGTCTCGCCCGGGACCTGCAGTGTCCAAAAAGGGTATGAAACTGTTCATGAATTATAAGGCAGCTCTTTGTTCAAGACGTAACATTAATTAACAGGGCAAGAACTAGAGAGGCAAGCTGCAACATGTCTGCATTTATTAGCCATGCCTAAGTGAATGTGTCATATTTATTGTCATGCTACTGTGATAACAATGAACAGTCAGTCAGTTTGTGTTATAGCAAATGCAGAAGCTAGGAAGCCTCGGAAAATTTATTTTAAGTGTTATCCATTAGCATAATGCATCACTATGACATCTTGGTGTCTCTTCAACATTAGGTGACATATTAACTTTTATTATCCTGCATACTTTTCACAGGCTCAGTGACTGGATCGTGTTTTAAAGGGGAACAGGGGTTGGCTCCGCACAAAATGTCAAATTTAATTTTGTCTCAGTAACAGTTCAATATGTTTGGAAATATGCTGTCTTGCTGAGCTGGATAAGAAGTTTGACACTAGTCTCATGTGTGTATGTTAAATATAAACCTACTTTCAGCAGTCAATTAACTTAGCTTAACTCAGAGACTGGACACAGAGGGAAACAGCTAGCTTGACTCTGTCCAACGGTACCAAAATCCACCTATTGGCACCTCTAAAGCTCACTGATTAACATGTTTTATCTGGTTTGCTTACTCCATACAAAAAACGAAAAAACTGTACCTAAGATAAAGATTTAAAAATGTTTGCATTATCATTTTAAATCATAACAGCACATTCTAGGAGGACAATCTTGAGGATTAAATGACAGCTACCCATCAGTCCTCCGCTGCAAAGGGGACACCTGCATACTCTAGAGGGGGTTGAGGTCAGGGATGAATAGTAGGGCCAAAGGGAGGCACTGGGTCAGGATTTGACTGCACTGGCACTATGTGGTCTGTCCTTCCTGCTGCTCCTGTGCTCTTTCAGCACAATGGCAAACAGTTAGTAGCTGTGCTCCAGACTCTGCAGGTATATGAGATTGTCTGCCTTAGTTGCCTTATGCTGGAAACCGTGGGCAGGTGCCCAGTGGTCACCATGCTGAGGTCAACAGTGCCATTGGCCACGGTCAATGGCACAGAGGCTTGTGGGGCAGCGCGGCTTTGGCACTAACAATGAGAGCACTCCGAGAGCTCTGACAGGTGGCAGGTGGCCAGTGAGATCAAACTGGAGAAGCTGGTGCTGCTAGAGTCCACTGACTGCTGTGAAGTATGTTGTGTCCAAGGCTGCAAAGACCTCTCACTGTTTGTAAGGAACCGTATGAAAATTATTACGCAGGGAAAGGGAAATGTTTTAACCTACATTTTTATCTTATTTCAGCCTTCCTTTGCTAACTTTATAACTGTAGTAATGACGGGACCAAAGAAGAAAGTCATCATAGTTCAATTTTCTAAGCATGATTGTTCCAAAACCTTAACCAGCTTTAATAAAGTAGTAATTTTGACCAAACCCCTGAAGCCATTTGGTGCCTAAATTTAACTAAACCATAACAATGGTGTCATCACATCATAAAACAGATGTATTCTTCATTGTAACGATTTTGGACCAGCTGATAGAGGTGCAGCATATTTTTTTGTAATTTGAAGGACTTGTTGTTTTGACATGTGGGGAGCAGGTTGCAGTAGTTGCTTCAAAGACTTAAGATATGCAACAGAATATAAATTATAACTCATTGTTGATGCTGTAAAAAGTTTGTTCGTATTTGTAAACACAACACCTTTTCCACTTTTTCAGTGGATGAACTGAATGCACAAAATGTTGATTTTCCATCATTAAGACAAACTCTTCAATTGTGCATAAGAATTAAGTTCAGATTTATATGAACAAAAAAAAGAAAGCACTTGTCCTTTAAGATATAAATCATGATTTATCCAGACTGGGTGTCAGCTCATTCACTTGTAGCATGGCATACAAATCAGAGGTATTAAAATTCAAATTACACTTCAAACTCGGGTATGAGGGTGAAGACACTACCGAAGTCGCACAGAGTGACTGTAAAACACAGAACCTGCAGCCATTACAGTTGTCTAAAGTCTGCAGTTATCTCCTATAGGAAGAGATGGGTTGCCTTAAGATAAAGTCACTGTGGTCTAGTTTTTACTCCAGATAATAATCACCTGTAAGAAACTGTTATCTTATCACTGTTTATTTTGCTGAGGAAAGCCCAGGAGGGAGGGAAAGTGAGGAGCTGGCAGCAATGTTCTCCTGACTGGTTGGCAACCCGTGGCAGGATACTGTGTCAGACGTGACGAGGATGTAGAGAGGCAGTGTGCTGGATTTAAGGCCTGGCAGCTGCTTCTATGGCCTGTATGTTCCACCACACTGAGATGTATTTAGATTGTATATTCAAGGACACATTGAGGGTTAAAAGATACATAATTTGTGAATGTTTTTAAGCTCGTGGTCATCAGTTTTAGACAATTAATTTAATGTATGTTATATTTTGATGCATCAGGTTTACAGACCTGTGATTAATGTCTCGCAGTGCTTACAGAGTTACAGTACTGCATATTTATTGACATCGTTGATTCTTCCAGACCACAGACTCACATTTTCTAAGAATACTTTCATAATGCAAATCAGTATGCTGTAACATCATGTTCAGTCATCCAAGTGACTGAAACAGCAGCACTGAATGTTTTGAAGTATGAGGCATGTTTGTTTGTCGCTCAAGAAAGGAAGTGGCGGCAAGAATGGTTAATCGCCTTAAGGTAAATTGCCCGTCTTTTTTTCTCTCTCGCCACATTGCCTCTTTCTTGTTGTCGTGTTGTACCATTAATTAGATTTACCCTGCTCAGCACAACCCATTCCATTTAAAGTCTTTGACGGAGGAGGAGGAGAGAAAGGGGAAGGCAAAGGAGAGAGGGGGTGGGGGGGACATGGAGCAAGGAGGAGGCGAAATAAAATTGTTTCCATGCAGAAAATGTTTGAAGCAGCTTTATTCAAAGGACAAGAAAAAACTGTTTGTGACTGTTTGTGGAAAATCAGTAGATCTGAATCAAAAGAAAGCAAGATCAGGCATCTAGCATTTATAAATTACTTTTACCTTGTAGATAGCTACACTTTTGAAGAAAAAAAACAGCTCCTTTTCTACTTTGTCATATTGAAAATATACAGTTTAATGCCTTGTTTTCTCCCCAGTGATTCCTGAAATGTGTGACAGTTTAGCTGCATTTATTCATGAACAGCTACTGTTTGTTTCTGATTTGTCACATGAACTAGATTTATATTTGTTGTCCATCATTCGTCCTTTGTGTGTGTGTTGTAGGAGACCGACTCGTTCAAGTCCACCAACAAGATCTGCCGCCAGCTGATTTACCACCTGACCCCTCACTCCAAGTGGAAGAGACAGAGCGTGCCCAGAAGGAAGTCTCAGGCCTGGTGAGTGTGTCCTCTCTGCTGCTGCCTGACACTGTGCCATCAGTCTGAAGATGAACAGTCTCTGCAACAGCAAACACAACCTAAACTATATGAAAAGAAGTTTGGGTGAACCCCCCTGCCAGTTTCTGGGAAGATGTTCTTTCAAGGTTACATCTGTTTGTTAATTAGGGTTAAAGGTTAAAATTATTACCTCCTGGGATTATATCACTATTTTTGCACACACACACACACACACACACTGCCAGGTGGAAAACAACACACAGAATAGTTGATCCACTGTGTTACTGCAGATCATCAGTTTTATATTTGAGTTATTTGTAGAGTCCGGCCATCTTTATAGTGCTGAATATTCATTACATGCAGCCATTTCAGTGGACGAACAATAGGGTTGTTCATGGACAGTAGTAAATGTTCCACCTGTTGAGTCAGCAATCAACCCCACTCCTCTGATTTGAGTCGGAGGTCTGCATATAAGTTACACATAGCTTATTTTATAGTTTTTTGCACTACATGTTGTTGATAAAACATATTTTACCACACAGCTGAACTGCAAAATGCATTTTTGTAGCTTGAAATGTAATTGGAAGAAACTCCTCCAGATGGAAAGTTGATCCAGTTATATCACTGTAATAACATTCATTTAAGGTCGGACTGTATCTGTGATAGTTACATGGAAGTATTAATGAAATCTGGGGAGGACATCTATGTTTCAGTGCATATGATATTCAGCAGATATTTTTCCTGGAAAGTAATTTCTGTGAGAATTCCCTGGAAATACCAGGATGAGACAAATTACTGGTCTCAACCAAATTCAGCTACACCTCCGAGGGTGTTAAACGTGGAATTAATTTGTGATGCATTATGGATGTGCTCTTTGATGGATTCATAGTATTATCTGTCCATTTTCACACTCTCAACTGTAATAACAGTTTCCCGCCTTATACTATTGTGACACAAACAGCCACACACCAGCTTAAACACCACCCGAGATAAGTGCGATGTGAAGATTTTAACAACTGAGAGTGTTTTTCTACATTATCTTACAGCATTAATGCATGCTACAAAACTGTCTCCAATAATGGATCTGGAGGTGTCTGAAACAAGAAACTAGTAAGGAACTAAGATAAGGTGCATGACTCAACAGATTTGAACTCGGATAGTCCGAACTGCAGGTAATCAGAGGTCAGCTTGAGCGAAAAACAAAGAGCAACAGAGCAGACTGATTCCAGCAACTGTGGAAATGCCATGTAAACAAATGAAAATGCGTTCCAGCTCAAATTAATTAACAGATACATTTGTGGAGAGAGTTATTAAAAAAAACATATCTTATGATGATCATGAGGCTCCCTCTCCCTGAGCAATTAACCCAGATTGAAAGATTTTTTGACAGCTTGAGTTAACTTCCCGCCCTAGTCTCTCGGTTGCAATATCTTCGAAATAACACTCAACAGAACAACAAGACAGATTCTCCCAGTGTGCTCATTAGCTCAGTCTCTCTCGCAGCCTTCACTGCAACCATCCAGACAGCAGCAGAGTCTGTGGGGCTCAAAACAGACTGTTTCTTTTTTTTGTGAATATGACATTCACATGCATACATGAATGTCTTTGAATCAAATGCAGTATTAGGACAGAGTGCTTTCAAATGCTTTTATGTTATTGATTGTTTCATTCTACCTCAATCCTCCCTTTCTTTATTTCCCTCTTCCTCTCAGTGTGTCTCCTCTTTCCTCACCTTTATGCTCTCCTTTCTTCCTTTTTTTTCCTTCCCAGACGCTCGGCTTCTTCCTATTTTAAAATCCCTTCCTTTCATTGATTTTTTTCCCCTCTCTCTCTCTTTTCCTGTGGGATTTTTCTCTCCTCCTTGTGAGAGTCCATTTTGTTCAACAGTTGCCACACAGAACGGTTCTGCAGTTTGAGCTGAGGCTCTGGGGAAACGCTCTGTCAGACAGAGAGGAAAAGGGGGGAGGCGGCATCACTGCAAGGTTGCTGATTAGAAGTCATGTATTTCCCTCTTTTCTCCTGCCTCGCTTCGAATCGATCGTGAATTTGATCTCTCCATATTTAGGAATGAAAAAGCATTAGCTATCACATAACCTATATTGCATTCGTACATTCTTATTTTCTTCAAGTGATATTGAAAAGTCTATTTGATCACTCTAGAAATGTGCTGGAGCCGGCTCTCCCACCGTGGCTCAGATTAAATTGTTTAAAAATGAAATATATGCAATTGGTTACAAATCTTCCACAGATAACACATAAGTCATGATTCAAGCTTTATTACCCCAGCCCGCGTTGCTTTTATAACACTGTAACTGCAAAGCAAGTGTGTCACACTTAATATATTATCAAGGCAATTTCATATTTTTCTCTGCTGCATGTGCCAGGTTTCAGAGAAGCACAGTGTTGCTGAGTCCCCAGAGGATTTTTTAATGTTATTGTAATTGGTATTGAATTTCAGATTAATCAACCTCGTATTTTTTTATTACACTAAAATTGCCCTTCCAGCACATTTTGAAGAGATTGGACTCCAATTGCCGATGCTTTTTCACTGCTTGTCTTTACTGCGAGGCAGTAATTGGTGCGAGGCTCTTACAGCAGCTATTACAGACTTCTTCAGTACATTTAAAGAAATGACTGTGCTTCAAGAATATGACTGAATTCTTGTATTTAGTGTTAGGCTTTGTAGAGTGAAGACATTCCAAGTATTTGGCTTTATTTTTCTTATTTGAGTCAGCACAGAATATACCAGTCAGCAGAATAACTGAAAGGATTTATTTATTTAACTGCTAATACTCAGACGTGCAGGTCGTGCCGACCGATGATGAGAGTGAAAAGAGTCGTGGCTATAACATCTGTTTGGGCAGGTGTAATCAGCTGTGGGCGAGTCCTGATATCTGACCCAGACCTCACACTGTTAAAGTGCCTTTCCTCCCACAGCTCACGCTGAGAAGGCTGTCAGACAGTCATTTCATTGCTTTTATTTATTATACAAAATGTTATAGTTATTGATCACTGGGCTGTTGATAACAAACACTACTTATGGACCGGTCCTCAACTTAGCTGTTTGCTTGTTTTTTAGATTTTACCTGATTTTGCAGCTTGGTTTCTCACCAGACCTCTACATGGAGTCTTAACATGGATGAAAAGATACAAAGATATATGTGTCTATAAGATGCTGTGATGTGAACCCGTTCTTTTTGCCTGAAACACCCACCACCACCATTTTTATAACTTTCCATGGACAAATTAAGTTAGAGTTTGAACTCTTGCATGCACTTTACACATGAATTTTGACCCTTTCACATTTACCACTGACTGCAAGGCCACGGTAGCTCACTTGGCAGAGCTCACACCTCATGTAGGCTGAGTCCTTACTGCATCAGCCCAGGTTCGATTCCAACCTGCGGCCCTTTTCTGCATATCGTCCACTCTCTCTGCACTGTACTTGTCTGTCTTCACCTGTCCTATCAAATAAAAGGAAGCATAGTGACGCTTGATTGGGTTCAACAGACTTTTTGTGTCATCCGACAGAAAAGGAAAGGGAATTGTTGCCTTTTGTTTCTCATGTGGATTTGGAAGCTGGACCATTTGTGTTTATTTGCCCCGAAACAGTCAATGTAGCCTACCAACTGTTCAGACACCAGCTGTGAGCTAGCTTTCGATGTACGCACCGACCGTGTGTGTCAGTACGTTTTTGTTGAGCTCAACTTCTGTCTGACTAACCAGAAACATGATTCTTCCTGTTACTTGCTGCAGTCGCTCTCTTTTTTCATGTCTCTGTATGGTTATAAGGCAGATTTATAGATATGCATGAATTTTTCGCTCAAGCTGAAACATTTTTAATTTACATAGATACATCTTTTGCACCACCTAGTGCAAATTTGTTTCTTTCCGTTAACTTTGTATGCATTGCGCCACGTCTGAAATTCGCTTCGCATTCTCTCCGGACACAAATTTCTACCTTTAATCCATGGTGTCTGAGGCAGCTATGTTTTTCCACCTTCTAAAATGTATGTATGGTTCCTCTTGAAATCCCCTCCTGTCTTAACTATCGAAACACACTCCCCGCTCGGCTCTCCAAACATTCACTTCAGCCCCAGTGGCTCGTCCAAAACTTTGCTGTCTTGCTTGTCGTCAGCCTCCCAAAATTCTCCTACATCAAATCATCCTTTGCTATCTCTAGTGGTTTCCTGTGGCTGTTCAGATGTTCAAATTCAACGATGCTGACAAGCAGTATAAGATTGCAAAACCCAACACCTCAGGCCATTGTCAATCCTGCCTTCCAACCTGTGACCTGCATCATGATGGTTGCAAATTCACCTCTTTTTCCTTTATCAACACTGCTGGAATGTCCTTCCCACTTCAACAAGATAATCCCCTTTGCTCATAGGCTAAAAAACTCATTTCTTCAAGTGGCACCTCACGTCATCCTCTTACTGAATCATACCCTAGAAAGCATTAGCCAGTGAAAAGCCGTCTTGGCTATAACTATATTTGGTTCAGCAGAGGAAGTTTTTTAGACATCTGTGTAATAGTCTGGATGCTTATGACCACTTTTTCAACTACATTTCAAGGCTGTATTTCTACTCCAGATTCCTCAACGGCTTTTTACTGCCTAATCACCAGAGAAGTGCTCACTGGGATTCTCTCTCCAGTTTCTCCCTGCTCTGCTCAGACTAATTTGCTCTAATCTTTAAAGAAATCCCCTCTACCTCTCTTCCTCGCTGTTATTTTGAGCTGTTCTTCCTTACATGATCCTTCCAGGGCCACAGCAATACTGTTAAGGCGCTACAACTTCCACCTTTGCAATCATTGCTATTGTATGTGTTGGTGACCCATGAATTTAAACTTATTCTACTGTCCAATCTGTTAAGGCTATGTAAGTCCATTAACATCAATCTTTTTTTGTCATTTTTGGGGGGCTTCCATCCATAACAAGCCGTCATATTCATTCCCTTAATGTATCTTTTTAATGCTTGTTTGTGTGACCATATTTTTGT